CACACACACACACACACACACACACACACACACAGCAGAGGTGGTTTGGAGTCGTTAATTACTGCGCAAGCACGCACACCCCACATGCCTTCCTACATGCAATTTTATCCACACGTGTCGCGGAAAGTCTTTCTCACGTCCTCGTCGTGGGTATATATATATATACATATGTATATGTATATACAAGTTTCGAGTTTTAAGTTGGCTATTTTAAAAAGTTACCAGTCGGTTAAAGTTAACCGACGTTGGAAAAAGTCAAGATCTATAGAGAGAAGATTACCTCAGTAAAACCGATTGATGGCGAGGGACGATAAAGTAAGGGGGGAGCTAGAAACAGCTTGATGGCGAGGAGCAATGAAGGAAGGGGAAAGCTAAAAACAGCTTGATGGCGAGGGGCGAAGAAGGAAGGGGAGAGCTTGATGATCTCATCGACAAACAGTAGCTGTCTGACAAGAGAGATAGCTTGTGAGATAGCTTCTGTTCGCCGATGAGATCATCATTGCCCCTCTTGCCGCTCGTCCCTCTCTGCATTTGCCCCTCTTGCGGCTCGCCCCTCTCTGCATTTGCCCCTCTTGCCGCTCGTCCCTCTTTGCGCATGAGGTAACCTTCTCTCTATAGATCTTGGGAAAAAGTGGCCCTAAATGTATTTATACATGGTATACTTTATAACTAGAACCTAGGTCAGATTAAAACCATTTCGGGTTGGACATATATTCAATCGGAAAATGGGTTGAATCGCTCTCGGAGCGAGTAAACCTGTACCAGTCGAAAACGTTATTACGCTTTCGGAGGCATTATTAATAATTACATTAGTAATACTAAAGTATTATAGTATTTTCAAAAGCTTAATATTGATTAGCTAATTTGTTTACCGCTTAAATTTTACTGCTAACGTTTCTTTAAGCGCCATGACCTTCCCAAGGAGAAATACAGGTCAAAGAAACGTCTAATAGACATCTAATAGACGTTTCTTCGACCTGTATTTTTCCCTGAGCTTGAGCATTTACATGAAAACTTCAGTGATTTTTTTTGTTTCAGCAGTTGACTACTATATTGCAATCTTGATATTAGTAAAATAGATACTAATATAACGCACTTTGAAGATTTATCCATTATTTTCTAGCTGGAAGTAATTAAAACGCATGCGCACCCGCATCGTGCTCCGCCATATTCAAATAAAAATTATTTATTTTTCGTTTTAAACAAAAACAAAATGTTGGAATATAAATTTAACCGATTATTAATAATGTACAAACAATGTACAAACGTTAAGCACGATAAATTCATAAATTGTAGTTTACGTGACGTAATTATGACAAGGGGGGGGGGCTAACTATCATTGGCGCAATTACGAAAACTGTCATTTTTTTTTAAATTAACGAAAAATGTACAAACGATAAAATATATAGTACATTCATGTACAAACGATGTACAATCCGAATATATAAATGTTTTTACGATTTGCGTTAGGGCGGGGGAGCAACTATATAGACCTCAACTATATAGACCTTTGTAACTTGGCTATTTGAGCTTATTGTGTATTACAACATTATCGACGATTGGTTATGTTTTATTTATTTATCTTTGGAGATTACTGAGCTCATATGATAATACTAGAAAAAGTTTGAAAAACACTACTATTCTAACATTTTTCGTGGAACTTTTATCGACCTATTTTTCGTCTTCTTTCTCAAATAATATAGTTGGTTTTTTTTGTATTGTTAATAATATCTTGTCTATATAAAAATTGCTATAAATTGTGATACAATTGCGATGCATTTTGAATAGAAAATAAGTTTTTAAAAAGTTTTTAAAAATTGTTTCTATTTACATCGAGTATGTCAAAGAATCTTTTACAATAAATTTTGTTTGCATTTATCAAGTTTCTAATAATTCCCAATTGTTTCAGCATGCAGAAGTGCGGCAATCATGCGACTACACGGTTGCCATCTGTTGAGACGGAGAGGACTTGCTTCGTACGTTACAATCACGTGATTTGTTCCTACAACCGTTCACAAGCCATTGGCCGCGGGTCGAAATTGATGCGAGGTTAGTAGCGCGGATAGTTTCATTCATGAACGTCGGGAACGCGGCCATAATACTTTTGTAATCTGTATTGTGTATACAGGTTATACGGCGCGTCGTTGCGTTAGTGCTGCTGCCGATGTGCGTGCGCCTCCTAGTTGTACACGTGATTCCCGCTTTGTGTTGCGTTTTTGCATGGTGTCTATTGTGTGCAATCGTACCGGCTGGAAATTCTTACTGACAAACTTCTGGTACAGCTAGCAGCGAGACAGGTACGTGGAAAAAGCGGTAATTTAGCGTTGAAGTCGCTGACTTTTCGACTGCCCGTCGCACGATTAGTCGCTACGGAGCTCTCGGGCTGGCTCGCCGATAACTGTGGCTGTGCGAACGTTAGATGTATATCATTGTCTAGCATTTAGCATATTATGCTGTGTGTGGAACGTTTATTTTCGCGCTCGGTTCGCTCATGAATGGATCATAAAGAGCGGAATTCTTACGATCCGCCGGCGAGTTTTAGCTCAAGTTCTCCGGCTAGAGCTGGTTTTAGCTTGTGTATATAGTACTGATGCTTCGTGTTATTACACCAACTTCGCAAAAACAATAATTTACTTCACGCATAACGCGACGAGAAAAGTGCTGCGTGGATCTTTATGAGGATTTAGCAGAACGCCGTCAAATTCGGCGGTGGGTTTCTTCAAATCATATCGCGCACATATTCTTCGCGTACAGATCGGGAGTCTAAAAATAAAAGCACCTTTCTTTCTCTCTCTCTCCAAATAATCGCCGTAGTTATAATACGCAAGAAAATGGTTCAAAATTAGAAGATAAAAGAATTAAAGATTTATGTGACCATTGTTTGTCAGTGAGCTGTTATTTCGAATTGGGATTAAAAAAATCTTATCGATACTTTTTTTTTGTACATTTTGTATTGAAGATAAAGTAGGCGTAAGCTCGAACTATGACGAAACGTAATGTTCAAAATGTAATGAAAACAACAAGCATTTCTAATTTTTGGCAAATTATTTTTCTGTGAATGTAGGCAGTATAAAATTATCGAGAAATCAATAATTGTTATAAATAACGTTAAAGACGTGCATTATTTCTGATTTTCAACAATTAATTTTCTTCGATCAACAGTGAAAATAGGAAAACGGAGTGTATTTCGCCGGTTTATGAAAAAAGTGTTTAGCCTGCCTGTATTATGTTTATATTATCCCACCTAAAGGTTTATCTCTTACAAGTCTTATGACTACAAAATGGAAAAAAGTGTACACTGAAATAGCCTTATCATAAAATAACAATGAAACTGACTTTGATAACGGAATGGCAATATGATGTCACCCGTCGTTAGCGGGGTTATCGCTGCAGGGTCAATTTAGAATAAATCAATTGGGACAAGGAATATTTTTATTTCAATATTTGAAAACTTACATAAAAAACAAGTCATAAGAACATAGATCTTACAAATATAACGGAGATATTTAAAATCTTTCAATCCGTGCTGCAATTTATTTGTCATGCAAATTTGATAGTAAAAATTTAGTTCGCTTTATTTTCTTCTGATTTTCTCATATAATCCACAAAATAAACTTACTCTGAAAATTCACTTTGAAAAGCTAATTCTATAAATATTATGTTAAATTAAATAGGAGTTAATTGGCTGACAAGATCTTTTCTAAACTTGTCTTGAGGAGTTTATATTAGTCGTTATATGGTAGTCATTATGGTAATCATTACTTTTCACATTTCAATGAATTCGTAATTGCCATTTGAGAGCGTCTTTTATGATCTTTTATTATCGGCAATAAAAATAACTTAAAATAATGTAAAAGCCTTTGAGAGAAGGAAAACGAGGAATGCGATGGCCTGCATCGGTTGACCGAAGGTTTTTGCACAATTTCTCGGGTCTCAGACCCCGCAGTGCGGCAACGTCGCGACCTGCATCTCCTTTCATCTCACCACCACTTTTCTTCCCCTCTCTCTTTTTCTCTCTTCTTCTCTCCTTCTTTTCACGTTTCTCTTCTTTTTCTTACCGTTTTCGTTTGCCAAAGATGACAAACGGTGACAAAGAAAGAGAACGCTTTGTAAGGGATAACGTGACAACGCGATGTCTGAAGGATCAGAAGCAAGAAACGACGATAAACCATGATGCTATGTCCATAAAGAGATGCGGACAAAGTTAAAAAATAAAAAACAAGAAGCGCGATAATCGATTTTCTTCAACGCTTAATCTTTCGAAAGCTAAAATGTCGTTTAAATGCTAAATATCTTGCCTTATCTTTTTTGCGGAAATTAACTTGATGTAACTTTATAGCAATCTTACGTAATTCCTCATCAAACATCCGGAGATAATTAACGAACTACATTTCAGAATTTTGTTGTTATATTTCCAAGAACAGAAAATTGTTGGAAGGAAAATATCTCGGGTTGTTAAAACTAAAATGAAATGCTTAATGTTCCATTTGTTGAAATTAATTCAGATCGCGGAGTGTTCATTTGCGAATGAGTGATAAAGTGCCTACTTGCGATTCATCCAAAGTCAACGATGATTCATGATTTTTTTTTTCTCTCACTGGACCATCAGAGTGATGTTGAGTTTGGCATACGGGTGCGTACGCACCAGATATGACGTCGTAGGTTCGCCTGCCCGCATCTGGAAACCCAGTAATGGCCTCTCAAGAGATATTATGTTGCTTTCAAACTTGAGACAATAGATACTCCGCTTTTGCGATGGGCGGGCTACTTAAGGCACAAGATTAATATCGATTACCTCGCGTTTATAGAATATGTTTAAATATATACATGTTGCTCTTAACGCTAAATGCGTATAGCAACAGTCTAGTTTGTTAATAAATAGAATCGAGACCAATCGTTACGATGAGAATTTCAGAGATGCAATTGTTTGTTTAATTCTGATTGTAATAATATAAGAATACATATAGAAAAGTAATGAAATTATTTGCATAAAGTTATAATTATGAAACGTGAAATTTTCTAAAGACATTTTAGCATCAAATAACTAATAATTAATAATTAATAACTAATGAATAATTTTAATAAATTCAGTATTTAAAGAATTCTAATAAAAATGGCAAACATATATGGCATTTTGTTATTAATTTGTATTTAAGAAATAAAGGAAATTATTGCATCTTATTTTGATAAAATATTATTACAAAGTATTTATTTTGTATTATTACTTGTATTGTATATGTGTATCACATTTGATAAATTTTAATCAAATTATATAAGAATTATATAAATCGGCTCTTAGGCCGATGTCACAATTGTGTGTGCAAAATTATCTGTATTTTTAATTATTAACAAATCGGTCTAATCGACCTTACTGTGGTTTTTCAGTTGCTTTGTCTTGAATCTATTGTACGGTTTGAATGATTTGGTTTTTCATTTTCGAGTCAGTGGTTATATGAATTTAGGTCTAATTTTTAATATGTGCTATTTAATGAAAAAGATACTGCAACAGTACGTTTGTCAACAATTGTAAATAAGTTTGCACAAACATAACTAGCATTGTAAAAATCTACTTAAAAATCTACTTATTCTTACATAATTTGATTTTTTTAATCTACTGAATCTGATTTACATTATATTGTTAATCAACTTTAACTATTACGTATATTTTCTTCATAAAATTGAAAGTAAAAATTCGGTATTAATGGACACTACAGATCAGCAAACGCACTGTATTTTTTATCTCAATGAGAGTGAAACTAGGCTGATTCACTCTTTATTTTTCCCTTTTCGAGTTTTTTTGTTGCCTTTTTCCTCTCTAGTTTCTCGAATTGCAGGTAGATTTAGGAATGTAAGACATTCCTGGACATTCCTCCTTGAATGTATCCAACAGTATGAACAAAGAAGTATAACGAAATCTGACGAAAGATTACTTTTCTAAAGATTAATTTTTCTATTCTGATAACGATACTTGGAAAATTCACCAAACTTCACTAATTTAATCATCGGCTTTGAATCTAGTTTTAGTCAGTTTTCTATCTTTGCATTCAATCTTTTTGATAAATTCTCCGTATTATGAAATTTACAAATTCAAACTGTCGTTAACTTATCTTTTTTATTAATCAGATAACATGTTACATGAAGCACTCGTTTAATTACAATAATAGGTGAAAGTTTTCAACTATTTCTAATTTTATTTAAGAAAATTATGAAGATTTAAAAATAAAAAAACTTGATTATTAATCCTCTCGCATCTGCAATCTCGCATTACTTTTTAAACATTCAACAAAAAATATATATTATGCACGAATTTTATGCACCAAAATGTATAATAATATATACTGGTTCTTAATCTGCTTTAAACCAGTTATAATCTTGATAATCTTCTTGATAACAGAATATTAGTTGATAATATTAACAAGTGGAACAGGAAACGGACAAATAAAATAAAATATTGATATCATGCGGAATAAATAACAAATAATCGGAATATGACAGTTTGAAATGAATGTAAAATATTGACCTTTATGAAATATTTGAAACAATCAATTAAATTATCAATCTATGTTACTTTATTTGTAGACGATAATTTTCTCATCTATTTTATGATGGGAATTATCATTTTAATGATTCGTCTATTGTACTGTTCTCTTTTAATTTCGTATTTGTAATAAACAATTTCGGGGAACTCACGCAATATTTTTCGTTACGCGCATCAGATAAATATTTGAATGATAATGGAACACACATATCCAAACAAATTGCAAGCGTCATTATTTGCAATCGGAGAATTTCGGTGCTAATCTTAACTTTCCGATAATAATCAAAGCTTTTACAGCGATATCAGCGTGGTGCCAATTCCTCCTGCAATAAAACAGAAATTGTCACATTTTTTTCAGAATTAAGATTATACTGAAAATTGTTATCATTTCACCGTGAAAATATTAATCTTCGTCGATCGGATAATTGTTAAAATATTTTTTGTGTGTAAAAGAAATTAATCTGTTTTCATTAACTTTTTATCGCTTATCGCGACCAAATATCGCGACGGGGGTTCTGATAATTTACGAGATACACTTATCGTTAGGTTGAGGAATTATGTTATATTTAGTTGAGCGTATATGATTGTACAGCGCATGAGATATTAGGTATTACGCATAAGTTACGTTCACTATTTATATATATAATTTATATATTTACAAGTTTTAATAACAACATATTTTTATATTAATATTTCTTTGCAGAATCATGTTTGCGATGTACAAAAACAATCAAATATTTATTATTGCACAGTAAAATTAAGCTTAACGGTAGATTATATTATACAGAGTGTCGCAGATATTTTAAATTATTTTGAAATCTATTCTCTTAACGATATTAAAATAAAACAAATTGGATTCACTTATCGACGCGATGGAGAGCAGCGAAGTTGTTCGCAAGTCGATCTGTAACAAAGCACATCTAAATTATAGCAGCGTTTAAAATAATTATTTGACAAATAATTATTACGCGCATTATTAAACATTACTCATCTTTGCATGCAAACATCTGATAAAAGATTTATATATTTATATTTAATAACCATCGATATATAAAAAATTGCAAATCTTTTACTGAATATTTCAAAGTTTTTATGCGCGTTACATTTTTACGTGCAATATTTTGCGAATAACAAATAACAAATGAATGATTATTTACCCTAAAGTTCTCACCGACGCCCGATGTCCTTCCCGAGCCTCTTCCTTCACTCAGTCCTTGTTCTTTAAGGCACTCACACGCGTTTGCGACGCGAATATAAAAATCGCACGATGATTTATAAACGGCATTCCCGACGCGTACTTTGTCACAAAAGTAAAACTCGCACGGATTACACGTTCGACGCTCTGCCGCGTTCGTAAAAGTAAGGACAGGAAATAATAAGGATAATACTATTGGAGAGGATAACGCGTCGGAACGATTTGCCGTGCGAATAATAAAGGTGTAATAAACATATCAAAAACAAGATTTGGGGAAATGCAAGGAGTAAAGTGCGACAATGTGCGTACCGATACATAGCACAAGAAAGAGCGAGTGAGAGGGGAAATATAGATCATGTAAACTAAGAGGAAGACAACCCAAGTCAGCCTCGAAACTCTTAACATTAGAACATTTATCAAATATTTCTCGAAATCGAGTTTAAACTCGATTTCGATAAATGTTAAATAAATACTTTAGTGTTAAAAGTTTTTAGGTCGATTTACTGCTTGTGGCGGAGTTGTTTACATCGCTACGCTCAGCTTGCATATTTATATTCTCTCTCTCTCTCTCTCTCTCTCTTTCTCTCGCACGCGTTATGTATTTGCACGCACATTGTTATTCTCTACTTTCCCGCATTTGTCGAGTTGGAATCGCCGTGACTTTGTTCTTGGTGTGTTTATTGTGTTTTTATTATTCGCACGGCGGCACTTGTACGCGACAGATTGTTTCGTACTCTTGGCGTGTTATTTTCTTCTATGATACGATCCTTCCCGTGTCTTTGATACTACTTCTCGTTTTCGATCCTCTTTTCCGTCGTTATCTATTGCGAACAGTGTCGAACGTGTATTCCGTGCGCATATTCGAGTTACATCTTTGTCCTAAAATAACAAATTACGTCGGAATGCCGTTTCAAATGTCGGATTTTCATGTTCGCGTCGGAGTGCTTTGAAGGATTGAAAGAAGGAAGAGGCTCAGGAGAAGCATCGGACGGCTGTGGAGCAACTTCGAGGTAATTAATCATTATTTTGTTATCCGTTCTTTGTAAAATGTTGCGCGTAAATAATTATGTATAACGCACATAAAATATTTGAAATATTCAATAAAACATTTACAATAATTAATATTCATGATTATTAGATTTTTTCACATATTTATTACTATTTTGCACATTTATGTTTAATACAATTAAATATTCGATGATTCTTTTATTAGCTATTTGCTTAAAAGACAAATAAAAAATTCAATGTGCGCAAATATTTCTTAGATACTAATTATCTTATCGCTGCTGTAATCTGGACGTTCTTTTGTATTTTGCAGATCAACTTTGCAGACCAACAGAGCAACAACCCCGCTGCTGCGCATCGTGCCGGTAAGTCTAATTAATCAAATTCAAGTCAATTCAATTTGTTTCAATATCTATATAAAAGATTTCAAAATAATCTCAAATATCGGTAAATAATTTTATGTAAAACATAAAGCGGCTAATTATACGATATCTTTAAACTAATCGCGAACGGTATTATTTTTTTTAATACGAGCGATCGATTAGATATTTTTTAAATAAATATTTGGACAGATTTTTCTAATAGACTGCGACAAAAGCTAGATGTAAATGAGTTAACATCGTCGCGAAAAGCGATTGCCTCGAAGAGACTTTTTTCTCTACGTTTTGGAGTTTCTTGAAGACGCATTTTAACCGCGTGTAAAGGGTCGTGAGAGTGTCGAGGTAGCCGTACAGTTTTCCACCTACCATCTGGCGACTGGGGTCTCAGCCGAAGTAACCTGATCTTCGTCGCGACGGAGATTCGAATACCTCCTGCGCTTCCACACATCCGTGCTCCGTCCGAAACAATAGCCTTCCTTCCAATTAGCACAAAAATTTAAAACTTACATTAAACCTCCACAAAACTCTATTAGAACAATAAATTGATTCGACTTATTAATAATGACATCGATCGAATTTTTCAACGGTTTAACTTTGTAATTTTGTATTTACATTCGCTTTAATTAAATTATAGATAAATTGTTAAACATAAGTAAGCCGTATAATATTGAATTTTGAAGAATTGCGATAAATAGCGATAGCTCCGAAATTTTCTTTAATACAAATTTATTTGAAAATGATCTAAAAAGTTAAAATTTGGATTTCTAATAAATTCTGTATACGTATATTGTACAAATACATATACATGTTATTGTATGCAGAATGCAAATCGTAAGACGGAGTGTGATTATAACTATTGTGTGTTAAAACGCTCGCTTTGCTTACATCAGTAAGCGTTCTTTACCGAACGATATCGACCGCACATCTAAAAGCGGGCTATTTAGCGGTTGATAAATAAATGTATCTCACGAACCAGAATATCGTGCCAAGCCAGCGGATCCGGTATAAAATTATAATTGGGACGTCGTGTCATGCGATCCGAGCGAAGAACCCCACGCAAGCCCCCAAATCTAACCCGTGTTTCATTTTGCTTATACATTTTTTCACGCGCGATAATTTTCCCAATTGCGTGTCAATACTTATTTTGCGACATCTATTTAAATAAACAACTTTTTCTTGCAGTCAAGATGGATATGGAATCCCTGTACGACTACGGGGAGGAGGAGCAGGACTTTTACGAAGAAAGCCCTGGAACCAGAAAAGGCGGCTATCCCATTGATCATAGATCCATAAAGGTAGGTCGATATTTCGATCTCAGACGTGAAACAGCGCAAGTGGGAAATGTTCTCGACAATTATTGCTCGAAAATGCACGACGAGAGGAAGCGCATGCTTCATTGAGATACATTTTTTATAGATATTTGTAATAATAATCCGCAGCGCTCTATAATTCCCGTTATCTTGTAATAAATGAGATTAATTACAGTGATTGTACAACATGTTGTACAAAATGCGTAAGTGTAATTAACATTTTAAATTGTCTCGTTATCACAGTAACGATTTTATCTTTCGAGAATATTCGCCTTTCATACATTTCAATAACTCCATCGAGTTTTCATGTCTATCTCGAAGAGGACACGGAAAAAAATATTTACTACTTTGCTTATATTCAATTAGTGCTTATAAATATTAATACCTCGCTTTTACATTCACTTCTTATCGCCATGTTCCTGTTACAATTATAACAGACGATCTAAACGTATATTTCAATATCTTTTTTTTTTCTTTTTTTTTTTTACAAGTTGAGAATTACGAGATTTTTGTATGTTAATTGGACGGAAAAATAAGACGGTGTCGAGTAAAGCTGTCGAGTTGTGTGTAATTTGTCTGTGCAATAGCGATAGCAGTGAGAGACGCGTTACGAATATTCCTCGCTCTCTCGACGATGCGAGCGCGTTGGCAAGCGAGCGCGTTGGTTGGAGCCGGTGATTGTGCGAGTGCCACTAACAATTCGTTCCTTGTCGCTCTCCGCCTTCGTTTTATGAATGAACGTAGAACCGGCACTCGGATCCCTTCCCCCCCTCTCCTCCCCTCCCCCGCCTGTCCCTTCCCCCTGCTATTCCCCACGCGCCTTCAGCCTTCATCTCTCTGTCACTGAGTGACCGTCGTCCGTCTCGCCTCT